CAGGCCTCAGAAACAGCTTCTCAGCAGCTCTGCTTCCCTTCAGCCTTCTGCCATCAGACCTCTGGAGACTTTCTCCAGCTCTGATCTAGAAGCGTCTTTAATTCGCACTCTGACGTTTAAAATCAGCTTTCAGGGAGCTTTTTCTGTCGGTTTCCAGTTGATGTTTCCTCTCTTTGTGGTCATTTCCTGTCTGTTCATGATTCCTTTGTGCCTCTCAGTGAAACTTTAAGGTTTTTTATACATTTTTCTGTATTTTTTTCAGGCGGTTTTGTGTCTGTTTAATTTCCTTCTGGTTTTTTTGTGCCTTTCTGCAGTAATTCAGGCTCACAGTTCCTTTGTCTTTTTGTCGTTTTTATGTCTTTATATGGATTTACTGTCATTTTCTGGTATTTTTGCGTGAGTTTGATTACTTTTTGGTTATTTTGTGGATTTTTGTGGTTCTGCGTGTTTCTAGTGTAATTTTTCCTCTTCGTGGTTCATTTGTGTCCCTTCAGGGTGGTTTTGTGTGTCTTTTTCTGTTAGTTTTGTGTCAGTGTTTCTCCATTTTCAGTGCAGTTCTCCTCTCAGGGCTAGAGTTACTTTGCTGCTCGTTCAGGGACAAACCTCCCATTGGGTTGGACTGCAGACACTCTGAATAGATCAATTAAAGCATTTAGGACTGAGGATATATAATCATTGACGCTTTTTGGACAGAATTCAATCAGCTGTTGGCAGCAATCAAATCTTTAACCTCCGCAGAATCTCCCAGAATGCTGTTATTTTTCTGCCTTTTTTGCCATAATTTCCAACAGTTTTTAAATAAAACTCTGAACTTGTTTGCATTTTATGCAGAAAGTGAATTAAATTCAAATGTATAATTACTTCATTCTCAACTTTTAGCAAATGAAACATTATTACTGGTGCTGCACACGTTAAAAACAGGTTTATCTCTCATAATGAGCTGTGAGGGGAAAGTGATGGACTTGGGACCAGAATCCACATTCAAAATGTTTAATCCAGAGAATAAACTCACAAAGACTCAGGGGATGACTTTGGTCTAAATTTGAACTTTATTTCTAACACTTACAGGTTTGTTTTGTCCCCATTTCCCTGCCCGACCCCCTTCCCCCCTTGGCCCATCTCCCCAAAACAACAGGCACACAGATAGCGATGACTTAAGGGACAGTTTCAAACCCAAACGGTTCCAACAGAAACTCAGAAAGAGAGAGCCTCCAGGTGGAAAACCAGCACATCGTAAGCACACAAGCAAACAGAAGCCCACCCCCCCACCACCAAAACAAAGAAAGAAAAGGCAGGTACTGAATTCACCACCACCGTCTTCGTCAGGCTTTTTCAAAGAACACTTTTGGAGTTTACATTTTAAAATCGGGGCTGTACGACGTGGAGAAATCAAGCTGAGGAGGTACAGTGGAGCTCTTTGGTTTTCACTGTTGAGGTTTGTCTTTTCTTTAACAGTAAAATCTATCTTTGCTGTCCTCTTAACCTTTGGATTTAAGCTGAATTGTAGAAAAAATAGAAAGGAAAAACGTCTCTTTTTTTTTTTTTTTTTTT